ATCACCCTACACATCATTGTTTCAAGTATTCCAAACTCCGTTACTGTGCATACGCTCATTTAAATATTCGCTGTGCCACTGGGGGAGTTCCTTTATAAGACAATATTCCTAAGATGCTAAATTGTAAGAAAATACAAAGAAAAAGAAACCGACTCTTGAGACCATAAAGATACCGTTCCTCCACTACCGCATCCTCTATCTACCATCGACTTCGACTCCTAGGTGGATTTAGATTTCATTTTAACTTCGTCCAAGGCTTTCATTGAGCCACGAAGAACAAGGAGGCGTCGATTACTCTCCCTCGAGCCACGGTATCACGCTACCGAAAGAAAACGACGAACGAAAATTACGATCGCATGATAGGATGATCCTCGTAACGCGAATTCGACGAACCACCGCTCTCTCCATCCCGAATTCCTTCGATTTTTAGGCGAAGCGGCTCCCAAGGGCGGCATCTCGTATTTTTATCTCCGCGGCGCGTCGCACGATATAGCCAATTAACTCTGTGTAAATGCTAATACGAAAAACCATCGAAGCTGCAGTAACAGGATACTGCAGCCGCCTCTAAAAATGTCGTAAAGGTAAGTTTGCAAGCTCTATCTTTCCCCACGTTCGCCACTTAGCGTTCCTTGGTTCCTTCGGTGAATTTTGTTCGCACGTACGATCCCGCGTAAAATCCGCGCGACTGCCGCGAGTAACTCGGCCCTACCTTCGCCATTTAAATGCTAATGCCGTCTTCGCTCGAACGTGTGCGAGCGTCTTGGGAGGCTCCGTGGCGTGTTCGCAAAAATTTGTCCCTTCTGAAAGGAAACGCGGCCGTCTCGAGAGAAATAAGCTCGCGCGATCAACGGAGGACGTTGCTGTTAACACTGGAAGGAACGGAGTTTCCGTCTATCTAAACGTGCCGTCGCGCCGCGCAGGGACGTGACGCGCTAGAGAAACGGGACGTTGGCAGAAGGAAAGAGTTCTCCGAAAAGAGCTTGTTTCGTTGGAAGGAACGGAACATGTCGGAGTTCCGTTGGTGCATTAATGAAACGCGCGCGAGGAAAGGCTTTTGTATAGGGTCTTCCATTAAGGAGCGAGCCCTACCTAGGACAGCCCAGAAAAAGGAATACACTTACGAATTTTTTCGGAAGAAACGGAAACTGTTCTGCTAATAAGTTTTAGGATATTCGAAGGAATATTTCTTAGTACATGTGTCACAATTTTTGTATTTAAGAATATTTTAAATTAGCAAAGCTGCTGCAGCGTTATTGTTTACATTTACATATAGTTTCATATATGTGAGAACCGTAGCGATATGTATAATTTATTTTGAAATAGGAAAATCTATAGAGAAAGAAAAACAATAGGAAGACTTCGCGAAAGGAACAAGGAAAGTAGTGCTCAATACTTGTTCGCAAGCTGTTAGGTAGTAACTGGAGCTACAAGGCACTTAGGTTTTATTTTATAATAATTGACTTCGTATGATAAGTCAATAAATTTGTCTATGTAAATCCTATTTTTCTGGAGATAAAAATATATATGATAAAAGATATAAGGTGTAATTAAAGCAGCATGAATATCAAGCATTTAACTACACAATAAAATACATATGGAGACAGTGGTAGGTGAAAGAAATAAAATGATATTCTTAATTACACGCATTAATGGATACGATTGATCGAAATATACTTTTAAATGATTTAATGTGAGATATTTATTAATACATTCCCAGGTATGCAATTAAATCGATATTGACAATAATTATTGCTATTTCCAACGAATGTTAACTACTTTAACCGCATCGTGAAAATAATGAAATGATATGACTGATTTTGCACTCGATTGCGAAACAGTAATTATTTATTAATATTCGAACAACGCAAAGGGAATTCAGTTTATTGGCAACTGGTATTTTTATTCTCTTTCGGCGAATTACGTGAAATATTCAAAGTAATTAACCAGGGAATTTCGTTACAGTATATACATTTCCTTGCGCGAATGAAACCGTCGCCTGTCGAGGTCTCCAACTTTAACGCCGTTTTTCTCATAATTACTCTCTTCCAACCGAGGTACCTAAAAACTCCGACACTAATGAACCAATCTTGACGAAATTTGACACGTGTATAAAGTAATTGTCTCTTTATCGTCAGAACTTTACCCAGTATGATATATTCTGCCACTTTTTTGTAATTAAGGAACTGTCTCGCATTTCCTGTAAGTTTATTATTCTACTTCGAAGCGTCGAAATACTGAACACGAAACAATGACATTTTGTTGCTTCAAAAGAGAACTGAACAAATCAGGATACTATTAGCGTATGTTTTCGTCTAAGCACTTCGTTTCATACATATTTTTAGAAAATTAATACTTTTGTTTTAAAGAATATGCCTAAGCATTCCGAGTTACAAGACCTCCTTCAGCCACATTTTCACTTGTTCGTTGCACGATGTGAGATATACAGTCAGTTCCATAAATATTCGTACCTTCTATGTCTATTCAAGAAATCTGTCTAAGTTAAATGATATGTTTGATATTTTCAAATAAATATTCCATTATAAATACAAATAAGTGTAATATTTATTCACGTACGTATTTATAATGAAATATTTATTTGTAAATATCAAACCCATCATTTAATTTAGTCAGACTTCTTTGATAGACATAGAAGATCAAATTTCTTTCCAAAGATAATCATGTATTGAGAAGATGATTAAATGTGTTTCGTTGCGAGTGATATTGTCTTCAGAATGCAATAAAGTTAAGAAACGATAGAACTACAATCTTTAATAACTACCTGTCTATATTTATGAAAAATACAAAGAATCAGTTCGTAACAAAACAGTTTCAGAATGTAACATGGTATATGTAACTGGCACGTCATTACGAGTTTGATTTTGAATCTCCTAGGGTTATACTCGTAAAGCCGAAGTTCTTAAAAAAGTTTACCAAAGCCAAAGGTTAACCGCGCCTTGCAAAGGTGTTTCAAGTGGGCACCGCGCGACGTGTTGCGCAAGTGGGAACGCCGCTTTAGCGGAAAGGCTAACGAATAGAGAGGTGGCTGGTGGACGAAGGCATTGTTGAAAACTCGTGCATGCCGGATATTCACGATTACTCAGTCAAATTCTCGTTTTTTGTTCGCGAACAGTGTTCCACGAAACTCCCGTCGAAAAGTTACAGTACCACAAAATCTGTACACAGAGGCTGGGGACACTGGTAGGGAGGTTCTTGAAGGAATAAAAAGGGTCAACGTCCCGATACGATATACGCTTCAATTCCAGCCGTGACTCAACCGAGTAAAGTACGTACCGACATCTGGCAGTGATAAAATCTTTTTCGAGTATTTCCTGTATTTTTCTAAAGGCGACCGAGAATTTCGAGCATCCCTGGTAAGTCCTCGCGATCGACGACAAACGTTTCTCTTCCATATCGCTCGAGAGCGAAGGAAACACAGTAGCGGCGAGTTTTTCCCGGTTCGACGTGGATTCGTCTTACAGAAATGTGCACTTTAGAGCGATGATAAAAAGCGCGTCGACTATCCTCTCTACCCCGCGTCGTTCGAAACCTACTTCCGTCTCACTCCACCGTTTTTGCTTCTTCGCTTCTGCTCGCGACACTTCTCGTATCGGATCTCCTGTCTGGATTTCGACGTCCGCCGTCGTACCCACTCCCCTTCATATAAATGGTAATGTTACACGCCGGCGGGGGCCACGGTTAAAAATTTTCGTTCGGGAAAACGAAGTCGCAAATTTCCGGGCGGACAGAACTCCCATAACGCGCGGCCACGTAAGGTGAAACGTTCCTTTTTAACTATCGATCTCGCACCAGAATCCCGTGGCGCTCTTATCGCGTAAATAATGCGCCACCTTCTCGCGGACGGTTATTAATATTTCTCCATCTTACAAGCAAAAACTGGTCCAAGGATATTCCCCTGGAATCCGCTGGAATCGTGAACCCCGCTACGAAGAAAACTCTTATCACAAGATCGTTTCTGCCTTTCGATACGTCCTCATCCTGTCCTCTAGACCCTTAGTTCTGCCTTTCAATTTCCATTTTACGGAAGCTTCCCCTCAGGTCTGATAAGACCGCGCGTCCTATCATCAAGTTTACATCGGTTTCTCTGTTCGATCTTTTCTCCGAGCAAAGCGACTTTTAACGGGACGTTTTCCTCGAGGAAGAGGCGCGAGTATTTCGAAAGACCCTGAATGACACTAGTCGAAGACGATCGCGGTGCTATTTCAGCGAACAACTCGTCTGGGAAGGTCAGCGCGATATTGCGGTACATTTAAACGCGGCCAAGTCTGTCGAGAAGGAAAAAGAGACTTTTCCTGGACAAGTTTCAGCGAGAAGCCCTCGTTAAGCACGAACTGGCCTCGAAGACGCGCGCTATTGGCCGGTCCGGTGCCAACGGCACGTTGGATTTCGCGCCAAATGCGCCGGCCAAGGAAACGTACACGCTCGAACGATTCCTTATCGCATATTCAAAGCCGGGGCCAAAAGGGAGGACTCGAGTGGAACGAAGATTGCAAAGTAGCGACGCGACGAACGGCGGCCGAGAGTCGGGGAAAATTCATCGAATTTCCCCCGAGGATTCGGCGAACCAGTTTAGCAAATGGGCTCCGTCTCAATTTTCGGTTCGAAGAATTTCATTCGCTCGCCGAATTCCCTTCTATACCTCGATTAGCCTCGCGAATGCGGAGGAACAACATCCCCTTTTGAATCCCCGAAGATGTCACAAACTTCGAAACTTACAGACTACTCAGCAAAAGTGACTCCCTATAGGATTAAATCTGAGAGTTCAAAGGCTCGTTTATGTTAGCGACTTTCCAGCGACTCAACTATCGGTACGGTTTAGCAGGGGTGGTAAAGTATCGTCGCATAGCGGAGTAGCGGTTGTCCAAGTATGCGCTACAAGCTCCATGCCTTTTAGCGCTTCGACCAGACTCTCTGGCGCACGAGAAAATCGCTAGCATGAAAGAGCTCTAAAAGCTACGGGGATCGGTTAGTCCGTTACTCACTTGGAATATCCCAAACGCTGTTCCGAGGTGTTCATTTGTCCGCGCAACCGTCGTCACGATCATTACTCTCTCGAGGATCTCTTTCTGCTTCTTCCGCTTTCACACTTCACGCTGTGTTCTCCCCCTGTCTGTGTCTATCCCTGGGTACTCTTTCGACCACAAACACCGTGTACCAACCGCTTGTAAGCAACGAGAAACCGCGCGGGACGACGTATCACGGTGGCGGTCTATGCGTCGTCGTGCATCCTTGGCATACACGGCACACACATACGGGCGCTCTCGGTGCACCACAAATCGCAGACACCAGGAACCGCGTCGAGAGCTATAGAGACCATTCTCAGACGGCTGTCCAAACGCGTTCCAACGACAGGATCGTGGAACGGGCGCTCATGATACCCGCAAATATCGACGTCGTTCGATCCAACGCCGACGACGATCGATTCGGTCGAATCAATCTGGGTCTACGATCCTTGGCACGCCGATCACCGAATCCCTCCGCGTTTCCCTTGAAACTCCATTCGCGTCGGATCTCTCTGGAGTGGGTCAGCGGGAATCAGCTGCTGCTCGGGGTAGCAGGTGATACCAAGTTCAAATCAGTTTCGTAGACACGGCGATTCCGTTTGTTTCCACGACAGTTCCATTTTGCCTGACAGAAACTTTATCGCGGTGGATCGTTTGGATATAAGCTGTTGCCAGAGTCCACAGCCACGCAGAGGGAAACTGCGGAAGCGTGTCCCCGAAAAGCACGTACAGGCGCTTCTGGTTGAGGGGAAACTGGTGTGTGCGTCCGCGCAGACACGCAACCCACGCGACTACGTGCCCTCGACTGGAGGCGCCTGCGGTCCAGGCTGCCACGCAGTATACTGAGCCGTGCCGGCTGCCCGGGAGAACCCGTGGGTGAACGAAGCTCCCCGAAATTCTGCGAAGATCCTCGATTCGATACCGCTCTCTTTGGGGTCGCGCACGAGTTGCGAAGAGATGCTGGATTGCGGGGGCGACCGTCAGACCATCGTCACCGTTCGATCCTGCTGGGGTAGCTCCGACTCGACGCCTTCTCTGTATGGGGGAAAAAAAGAGATCCATTTACCTATGGTTCGATGAAGCGACGCGTGGAATTGAAATGGCCAATCGGATGTACGAGATGTTATCTTTGGCGCGCTCGTCAGGGACTTGTTGGTAGCTTTTAATCGTTTTCCAATTTGATCGGTCCAATATAGCGCTCTGGACGTGTGTAGGTGGTTCTGTTGCCATATGGTTTTAATGTGTTCGTGGTGATGATGCTTTATTATTTTGAACGCTGGTAGGTGATTTGGACACCTTGTTCCTATACATTTACGAGGAAAGATATAACCCTTTGCACTCCGAATTATATTTCAATTTCGTTACCAGCAGCGCTTAAAGATTTCAAGTGTTTGATTTGAAATTTATTGGGTTGTTCGGAAAGTCCATGTCGATTTTTGATAGGTGGTACAGGTCTGAATATATCGAAGTGGTTGAAAACAAATAACATGTATCATTCCCTTAAAAGGTGGAAAGGTTGTGGAACAGAATGGCACCTATGTAATTCAATAAACATATATTAAAAGTCAAACATGTTTTTGAATTTTTCTTAGAAATTGGCACGAACTTTCTGGACAACCTAATACTTTAACTAAAAAAACAAGGCAATTTAAATAAAGAAAGAAAGAATTTGTATTTTGTTATTTTCAAGTGTATGATATCGTCCGAAAGAATTTCCAAGATGCAATCCTGGTTTTCTTTCGCACGTGTTACAAAGTGCGCAATTCTTGTGTTTTTCGTTAGAGATGTACGAAAATGAAATGAGGCTTTGCATGTAAACGATCGTGTTTACTTTATGCTCCAAGTCCCATTTAATTTTTCTTATGATTATAAGAAGTGTTCCCAAGTGGTTATACTTCTCTTCTTTGGAAAAAATTATACATATTTTGGCAGCTTCCGATTTAAGACATTTTAACGTATTCAGGCATGATTCGTACATTCAAATAGTCCGAGCATCCCGTACTGCTCGTGTGGGAGAATATTTATTTCCGATCGTGATTCAATCGCAAGTTGCACGAATGCGAAGTGGCTCGTGATTTCAGAACAATGTCTCTAACTTGTGGTAACTTCCAATCCGTTGATGCACTCTACTGTTTATGTTTAGAAGTTCGTGCTACCTGGTTTGTTAGGCGAATACGTAATAACTGTCTGCAAGTGTACGATCGCACCTGTTTCATCCTGCGTTGTATCTAAGCGTAAACCCTGTCGCATGCGCTGAACCCTTCCAAAACAGTTGTCTTTGGGTGGAGCGCAATGTTCGCAAACATAGTCTCTCTGGCTCTCTACTACTAAGATGATGAAATACAATCAAGCTCTGGATCCTTGATCCTTGTTCTACGACTCGCGGAACCATTTTAGTTGGCACTTCTGTGTATCCTTGTGACATAATCCGCAATGTTCTTCCATCTTAAACTGAGATTTTATTGCGTTCTGCTTTGTACAATTCTATTTGTCAATTTTCTTAATTTGCCTCGGAAATTACATTAAAATTAATTACGAATAATTTCATTTCTACATTTGTTATAGAGTACTAATAACTGTATGAAAACAAGAACATTTCCGTGATTTTTCATCGGAAACTCGTCTTTTATGCACACTTCTAAGCCTTTTTCCTTGATATTGTATCGCATATATTCAAACCCACGCGTTTTTCGTACAAAATTTATAATTTCTCTCTTTCGTCCCTTTCTGTATTAATCTTTTGTCCACATCGAAATATTTGAATTCGTGAAATTTTAGCGAATGACGACTCAAGCCCTTGCGAATACATCAAAGTGGTTAACGTCGTACAAACCACAGCTCTTCGAGAGATTTCTCGTCTCATCAGGAAATGTTGCTGCACCTTGTTCAAACATTACAGATGAATTATTTAGAGAGCAGAGAACATATCGACGTCAAAACATCGATATTTGCACCGTACGAATATTGCTGGAAGCGAAGGCACTGTAATGCAAATGTTTGGAAATGCTAAAAGACTCGACTTTTGCTGCGCCAGCTGCGTCATCGCGCGCGTGGAATTTATAACGCTTCCCTCCATGCCCGTGCATGAATATAAGATAATAGATTAATATAGGATTTAGGAAGAATTGATGGTGCCGGCGGCGTAAAATGCATACGTATCCTTTTACTGACCGTGGATGAATAATAGTCGATACAGGGTGTCTGACAATGTTCCAAAATAAAAACAAAAAAAAACAACAACGCTGTATAAATGTTTCGCTAAAAAGTAGTAACAAAAATAGGATTCGCGAAGGAAACGCTGTACCACAATTTACATTTCAAAATGCCGCCCGTCACGTCTGACAGCGATATAACAGTAATTTATCGTCGAACGAATTTCCTTCTAATTCTGTTGAATTCCAGCAGTTCAACTTTCTTTTATTTCATTTCGAGTATCGCGTTGTCGGCTAATAATTAATATGAATTGTTTGCATTCATGCCGCATATTGACATTGAAAGTATGTTATTGTAGAACACATATCGTGAATTAATATAGTAATATTAATATTTCATTTCATCGAAATGCACGTATTCTCGATACGTTTAACGAATGTTTTCCACATTCGCGTAAGCCGTTAATGCGTAAATCCGCTGGCAGCTTACTGGAGCAATGATAGATTAATAAGAGGTGCAATTTTTTGTTGGGATTATAAACGATTAAGTTTATAATATTATTATTACGATATTTAATTCAATGGCGATGCCATATTATAAGGTTATACGATTGATGTTATAATAAAAACATATATATGGAATTCGCAATAATAATGAATGAAAAGTATTAAGATTATTCAAACTTGTGGAATAAAAACGCAGCGTTCGATACACTTGAAATTATAATAGAAGTCTCTTTCACGACTCAGCTGTTTATTCTAGCAGTATTAATTTAAATAAACAATCGTATCTCTTAGAAGTTAATGGTATCCTTTTCAATGTCGGTTTCAATAACCGTATTTTAGCTTCGCGCTATTTCTTATGCGTTATTGTACTGTAGGAAAAGGAAAAAGCAGTCCTGAGTTGAGGGAAACGTGGTGGCATAAGTAAGTAGAATGTGGACTCTGTCGAGTAATTTTTGCTTGTTAGTCGCGAGCTTCACGAGACCTGACTAGAACACGTGACCAAAAACGACGTGCAATTCCTGATTATTACTCTGTGAAAATGAATTCTTGTAGAAGACACCACATTATTACTTTCGTCGAACATTGGTTTGAATATTTTGTCACGAGTAGTTTAATGTTAAGAAATTTGAATAATTAACATGGTAAACTTACTTATTAAATTATTCAATTCAAAATTCATAGAATTTCCCTTGAATTCGTCCTTATCGTCTTGAACGAAAATTTCAAAGGTCCACACGCTGCTTACATCCACTTTCAATTTCCTTTCTTAGGAAATTACTCACGACATTGTGTAATCTTCCCAAGAGACCTGCAATCTCTCTTCGTTTGAGTCTGCCGCGTTCCAAATTCAGTATCAACTGTTTTAGCAGTGCAGCAAGTTCCTAATCTTGAGGAATCGTTAACCGTATAATTAAAATGGATGCAACAAAACAAAATCAAAAGAGTATTCAATTAATGAAAAAGCACATTATAATACAGTGGATGAGCATCCAAAACACCAGTAACCATCAAGATTTCAAATATTAAATAGCAACTGCAATTGTTTACAGTCACAAGGGTTGCTTTTATGATAATTAAATTACTCTCCAAGCAGTTTGTAAAATTCGAGGTATAGTTTCGTATATACGTATTAGCTACAGCATTTATCAGTAGCTGGAAACCATAATCTTTATATAGAAAGAATTTGCTTTTCAAATTTTTGTTTACACTTCATTGGTGAGACAATAATCGAGTTACAAAGAATCTTCTTAGATAATATATACACACATTTCAAATTTTGATACGTAGCTTTATTATTTCGTAACTAGTGTTGCAATTAAACGTAGACAGAAATTATCGAGGTAAATTCTTTCTGTATGAAGGTTATGTGTATACATATATATTTGTACATGTAATTTAAAAAGGTAGACATATGTCAGAAAGAAATATTCCAACAATCTTACTTAACCCATTCACTGCCATGCAAATTTAAAGCGTTTTGCTTCAGGCGCCAAGACTTAATACAGATGTGTAATCTAGGTTATTATTTTGATATTAAGAAGTGATATTAAGTTTGTTGTTTTAAAAAGAAAATTTACAAACCAGAAGGCTATAAACTTACCCCTTTCTGCACTTGTGCCAGAGCCTAAAGGACAAACCGTTTAATCTCCACACGATCGGTCGTATTTACCAATTCAGTGCTAAATTCGGATTATGGATTACCTCCATCAGGAACGCTTAGCGGAACATTTTCCTCTTAGGCACGAATACACCCTGTCAAAGTTTGACCAGACACCCTGTCAGACAACCCGTACATTTCCATCGCAGCGAAGCTCCTCGTAACCAAAGACCTAACCCAGCCTCGCCACGAGATACATCGTAAAATCCGCTTACACGAAATAATTGGTTAATTACTTTACAGCAGGTGCGCGTTACGCAACAACAACCCCGCGTGTCCGCGAGTTTTGAGCCTCCGCACAGCGGCGCGCACGCGTTAATGGCTCCGAATGTTATGGTACGTGATTGAATCGCGCGGCAGCAGCGTAACGCTACGCTCATGCTATAACGCAAATCCGCAGTCTACACGGATCTCCGGTAACGTAAGTTTACCGTAGGCCGTTCCAACTTTCGCGTCCCAACTATCTCTCTCCGAGGGCAGGGAACGA